AGAACTCCTGTTAACTGGTGACTTAACAACCTTCTTAACCGGCGTAATCTTTGGAGCAAACGGTCACGTTCATTTCCCGTGGCCTGGCACAGTCTAAAGTGAAACTAATATTCATTGATTTAATATACACTCAACAAGGTCCAGAGTTACCTACATATTATATAACTTGATTAAAAACCCTTGACTTAATCTTAATGGGGACAATATTTGATGAGTACACTCTCACAGTCTAGAGTGGGCCGATATATAATTTGATTTGAACCTCCGGAATGAGGATTATATATGACATGACCGCTCGATATACTACTCCACAAGCAACCAGCTGACCAGAAAAAGTTAGTTCAAAGAAACATTAATAACTTTCTTTTTTAATGATCCAATTGACATCAGAATTTACCGAAAGCTAGAACATCCATCCGGATTATATTTTTGTAAAAGTTTGTTGCCGTCGTGTTGCACAACAGAAATATGATAAAACAGTTCACCCCTGTACATTATGCTTTTGCAAAGAAGATGTATCAACAAACGAAATCTTCCAGATCTACATGTGCATTATTTGCTCGGGCATACGGGATAGATATGTAACAAACATAATTTTACAAGCAAAAGGTCCATTTTGAAATGGGATGCAAATGTTGAAACTCTAATTTTTAGCCCCGAGTAACACACGCTCGGTAGCCTGAAAAACAACGCTCTCTTGAAAAGGTTAGGGTGGTCAGTTATTTCATGAAGTCTGACTGTTCGATTGTTAGGTCTCGACTAGACATAACCGACAATCATGAGGTCAAGGAAGATAGTTTACGTCTCTACTCGAGGTGCTGTAAACATTGCAGGTTTGAAATTATTTTTATAACGTGTCTTGCGTAGAATGGGCAGGAGATTTGCATACAAAAGAACTCCCTTTTGAAACGGATTAAGAAGAGTTTGTTAGCTTAATTGGAGACAATTGCTATATTTTGCATCAATTTTGGAAGACAATTTTTCAGAGACTGAAATATATTGCGGATAGAGTAAATCTTTGGTAGCAAAGTTTGCCAACACCTACGGCTTTCGTCCATTTCTCGATCATTTTTCTTTCTTGATCAGTTTGTGTCATTAACACTCTGTGAGCTAATATTTTGATAAATCATGTTCGAATCCTGAACAGTGCCTTCTTGTTCTTGGGTTGTTTTTAAAGACTCATCGCCTACTTTACTTCATCTTATAGGATATAGACGTTAACTATTGAGGTTTTGCGTCTGAAATAACACACTAATGATAACATACTATAACTAGTGATAATAATTCTTCTTCTTCCAATCATATATTAATTGTTTGCTTAGCTTTAATCAGAACCTACCCGATACTATTGAATTACGGCACGAATAAATTTTGATACAATCAGAGAATACTGTCTACCATATATTTATTTTATGTGCAGTAATAATGGTGTTTGAATGTTAAATTTCAAAGAATAAGATTCTGCGCCCACGTATACTCGATAATGTATGAGGTTCAATGCACGTTGGCTTTTCTCCCCCCTCCTCTCTCTCACTCTCTCTCTCACTCCGGTCTCTCACACTTCTACTCTGTATGCGTCTGTCTGTGTTTGTTTGTTTGTTTGTTCGTTTGTTGGGAGGAGAGTGGGTTAGAGAATGAGTGAGTGAATTAGTGAGTGAGTATGTGAATGAGTAAGTGTACGTGTGTATTTGTGTGTGTGTGGTTGTGTTTTGAGTGTGTTTTGGGGGGGTGTGGGGGTGGGGGTGTTAATGTGCATATGTGTGTGTGCGCGCGTGCGTGTGTGCATGTGTGTGTATGTGTAAGCTAAATACATACGTTTGAAACCTCTCTGACGTCCGAACCAATGATGGATGACCAGGGCACACCGTGGATGTACGTTATGTAAGGTATAAGAATTTTCCCTCACGCTTTACCTTAACTTCACCTATAGTGTCAATGGCTGTTGTGTTTCCGCTGACCACAAAACTGTCCTAACCGTCAATGTTCCACGATCGATCACAATTTGAGCTCTTATTCTTTCAGACTTAACCCGATGATTTTTCTTCCATAATCCTGTGTCCTGTTGGAACACTAAACATACCCATCCCTCGAAAAAATATTTTGGCTTTCTTCTCATTTTATATATTTATACGCGCCAATAGAGACGATTAAGATCATTTAGAAGGCAGGCTTCCTACACTGCCTGTCAACGCTAACCGGGGCAGAGAGGGATTTAAAACATCTAGGTAGAAAGGCCAATAGACTCGCTAAATTTAGATCTATATCCGCACGTCGGGAATCGAACTCGGGTCTCGTGCGTGCAGCAGAGAAGGATCGTACCACCACACCACAGACGCCGCTCATCTCCCACAGGATCTATATTGTCTATCAATATTGGCGAACATTGTTTATTATTAAATGATAAGACCCATATTATGTATTCTGTGTCTAGTAAGTTGATAACTGAAGAAAAAGTAAAAGCCATACAGTTGACTGTTAGTTTCGCAAATTATGTCAGTTGTAACATGAAACTTTTTACCTCTTCAAGGAACGTAGGGGACACATAATATTGTGTCCGATCAGAAACAGAATAACAGGCAATATTGCGGCACATTTAGAACCACCATACACACATGGGAAGCCCAAATTTGTATATTTCATGATAAAAAATTTATGCATATTGTTAATGGGTCGTTTTAAGCTCCAGATAAAGAACACAGAATGGAGAAATCTGTTATATGATGACAAAATTATGGCTCTTTTTTAAAGTGCTCCAAAAATAGCGACGTCGAATAACCAAAATGCGTTACCTTAATAATTTGAAATAGAGAGGGTAATCCCGTCCTAAGTTTTAAAGCCAGAACTAGATCTTCGGACTGCATCTCATAAAGCAAAGAAAGATGGATGGACAGGCATTGCATCCAGCTGCTACAGCGATATAAATTTCTTTTTTTTTTAATTCTGAAATAATTATATCAGAGATATCACACAGATAGTAAGATTAAGAACAATGAGTCCATAAGTGAATCTACAAAAAGGAATCCGAGCACGAAGCTGGAGGATACTCTTTAAATAGAAATATATAATTTCTTTATTACACAGAGGATCACTACATACCAATTTTAATTCCTTCAATAGATATCACTATTAATACAACCGTCCTCGATAACTTTAACTTTGAACACACACACACACACACACACACACACACACACACACACACACACACACAAACAAACAAACAAGGGATGTCACTTTTTGGAGTTAGAAAAAAAAGAAATACTTGACAGCCCTGCGTTCTTCTATATAGCCCTATTTTCCAAGCCTGATATTGGGCGACTCATAGGATTCTTAGCCCTGGACACCTAGATGATCAAGAAAAGGTGCATAAACACTTACACACTCGCGTCACAACTCGAATTATGCAAAACACAGACTTCTCTTGTTGTTTCACTGTGGCCCTTCAGATATATAATGTATAATTTTATTCAACAAAAATTATACATCTTTCCTTTGGCGTTATGGGTAACAATAATAAATATGGTCATAATTTTTGGTTACGATTAAAAGAAAAAAAATCTTAAAAAAAAAATTCATCTTTCCATTTTTGTTCTACATTTAATTTTTGTTTTAACTTCGTGGATTTCAGCATAGTTCTTTGCCTTAGCACCATTTAATCAAACCCAAACGCGAACAAGCAATTGCAAATGTATTTACACAATGTATATATATATATATATATATATATATATATATATATATATATATATATATATATATATATATATATATATATATATATATATATATATATATACAGGTATGCATGACAGGATTTGTATTACTTCAATTGAGTACACAAAAGAAACATTTAAGATTATATATGGATTTTAAGCTATTCTATAGTTGGAGGTATTTTTTTTTTACTCGCAAAGCACAACATCTATTATTGTCAAAGAATTTTAAACAGATGTCTGTGAACAAGCTTGCGTGATCTCTGTAGATGTATTGCACTGCTAAGCCGTATATGCATAAGCATTGTCACTTTTATAGTCAGGAACGATATAAATATGACAACTAAACATACTGTGGGTAGAAAACTGCCCGTAGACAACCCCAACACAAATTAAAACACCATCACAAAGAAGCTTATTTTTTATAATGACCAAAAACATCCTAATGAGTGTGACCAATGTCAGAACTAAAAAATAATGTAATCACAGCTAGTTTGGAAAAAATAATTCTGCTGCAAAGTGGGTACCAATGTTAATAAAAATATTTAAAAAAATAAAAATAAATTTAAAAAAAATAATAAAAAAAAATTAATTAAAAAATAAAAATTATATTAATCGTGATGATGGTGGTGATGACAATGTAATATTTTTAAAAAATGTTAATATTATTTTTAACAACTTAAAAAAATAGTTTTAATAATAATAATAATAATAATAATAATAATAATAATAATAATAATAATAATAATAATAATAAACAATAATAATAATAATAATAATAATCATCGTCATCATCATCATCATAATAATAATAATCATAATCATAATAATAATGTAGCAAAAGTAGGGTGTGATAATGTTAAAAGAAAAAAAAACTTGTTTTCGTTGCATTTTAAATGTGATTATCAAGCTTATCCTTTGTTAGAAAAAAAGAATCTACAAAAGATCATTTTAAAATTCAAAAAGTATGGTACACTTCAATGATGTTCTCTACAATAAGCTTCAACAGAACATGAAATTCGTGATTTGATACTTTTGCCATTTTGTGCAGCGATACTGTCCCTATAAAGCTCAACAACGATTGTTTTCTTTATATTTTAAATGTGATTATCAAGCTTTTCTTTTGTTAAGAAAAAAAGAATCAACAGAGGACAGGTTAATATCAGAGCCAGACTTTACCACAGCAATCTTTACCAGTAATTAAGACTGTGTCAAGATGTGGTGGAATCAGGCGCTCGTCAGTTTGGGGGAATATGATTTTATTAGTATAATTTTAAAGCCTGTTAATTTTTCTTGTTCTTTTTTTATTCAGGAAATACCCATCTATCCACAATAGAAGTCGAAATATTTGCAATTGAAGGAGGTGCGGATCGCTTAGTATCAGGGGGAAAATTAGGGGGAAAATGGCCGCCAAAATTTGGTGACTTCCAAATCTTAAGTGTACCTGAAAACTACAAATACATTATTGTCATCTTTGGTAAGCATTTTTTGGGGGAAATCCAACTAGAAATGTATTTTTAAATAATGTTGAGCCCAAAAATTTAAAGAATCGTTAAACATGGCCAAACCGGTGGGACAATGCCAATTTCTTCGAATTCCTAAACTTGAGAAGAGCCCGATTTCGCCACGATATAGTAATTGCTTTAATTCTTTCAACCCCATCAGACGCTGGGAGCGTCCGGTGGTAATAACCCTGTTCATCATCGGACTTTGGGAGCGTCTAATACTATTGTGACAACTGTCTTGTTTTATTTAGAGCTAGTTTTTACTTGTTTTTCGGAACTATTCACAAACCAAGTTTTTTAATAATGACTTAGCCTTTGTTTCTGCCCTTTAGAATTTAGAAGTTGGGGGCAAACCTTTGGGGTTATAATGAGACATAGTGCACCAAGGTGACTGTAGAAAAAAACTCTGGCGAACGGTGAAAAAAACTCAGGGTTTAATAAGTTAATGAAAGAGTCGTATCCTCTTTTTGATCTCCCTCCTACACACGGGACATTCTCTAAGCTGTTGGCTACAATCTTGGCACGTCTGATGGCCGCACTGGAAGGCCAGATCCTTGTAGCGGTCCAAGCAGATGGGACACAAGCACTTGTCACGGAAGGAGCTCAGTTCTTCCTCCATACTGCGCATGCTCGACATCGACCTGTTCAGTTCTTCCTGGGAACAGGATTGGATGGAAGAGAAAACAACAGGGTCAAAACTTTTTTTTTGGCTCTTTTTTTTTGGGGGGGGGGGCTAAACAATTTAAAGAGACAAATAAAATGATTTTACAGGTACTTGATTAGATTGAAGACATGATCAAAGTTGAAACAAACAAACACATACACACACACTCACACACACACATACACACTCTCTCTCTCTGTCTCTGTCTCTCTCTCTCTCTCTGTCTCTGTCTCTCTCTCTCTCTCTCTCACACACACACACACACACTCACACACACAGACACACACACACACACACACACACACACACACACACACACACACACACATACACGCACACACACTCAAACACTCCCATAAAAACATTAAAATACCTGCAGTTCCTGTGTCTCTGACACCACGGCTTTCATCTCGTGTTCATGGCCTGTCCCGGCCTCATAGCAGTCATGACACAGGCAGAAATCTTTGCACTGTGTACATTTGAAACATACGCCTCTGATAGGGCTGGAAGCACAGGTATTGCACTGCAACAGTTTTTAAAACGGTTTTAGTTTAGTTTTAGTAGAAGTTTTTCGGCGCTTGCAACTGCATAAGGTCAAAAGAGCGCCAGAAGATTAGAGGTGATACAAGAGAGTAACAAACATAAAAAAGAAGAAGCGGAGATAAGGACGATAGATGTTTGACACGAAAGAAGAAGCAAACCAAACCAGAGCACCCGCCAACCACCCACTAAAACGGTTTGCCTTAATCAGAAATTGTGGTAAGAAATATCAGCTCAAAGGAAAATTTAAACAAAAAAGTAGGTATTGCACTGGAACAGTTTTTAAAACGGTTTGCCTTAAACAGAAATTGGGTTCAGAAATATCAAATCACAGGAAAATTCAAACAGAAAAGTGCAACTTTTAGAAACTCATAGTATATAAGACGAACAAGAGTTACTTCTCAGCTTAAAAACGTGTTATGGAAATTGAAAAATGGATGCTTCACAAATTAAGATATCTTCTCTTAAAATATATCTACATATAAACAGTTCTGGAGAGTTTAGCTGTACAATGACATTAAATGCGACAACGTCATTCTTAATTAGAATAAAGAGTTTCCTTGTCCCGTTTTGTTTTTCCAAAGTGTTGAGCAATGCAAGAATTTTAAAAAATCACGAGAACCACAAAAACCTAATACAACAAATGATATTAGTGCCGTCACTATGGGTAGAAACGACCGTTGTTGAGTACACATAGGACTCTATCAAAATGGCGGCCATCTGTTTAATGAGTATGTTTGAGCTTGAAAAGGCACACATAAAAATTATAATTTTGTTTTCAAAATATGTAAGAAAATCAGAAGAATCATGAACAAGATCCGGATTTCAAATACCAGACTACACCCCAAAATCAGCAGACACATTAACAAATCTGACAACGAAAGATTGATCAGTACTGAACGTACATTTGACTAAATTATCATTCCCAACCAAAGATTAATCTGCCCTGTACTACATTTGACTACATGATATTCCCAACAGAAGAATGGCTCATGAAATACAAGTACCTTTGTACCGGGATGCACAGGGTAACCTGACACTGTTGTGGCTGCCGTGGCCACCAACTGCGTTAGGTCATCAAACAGATCCACCATATTTTCCTGGTCATCAATATTTGAAAATTACAATTGGACATTTCTCTTATTGTCGATTTGGGATATGACTTTCAATGGAAATCGTATCTAAAATAAGTGTTGTACATATCAAAAAGTAATTATGAAATGTGGCAATGAGAAACATAATGTTCAGCACAAAAAGTAATTGATATAGATGGTCCTACACGCATGCATGTGTGTGTGTGTGTGTGTGTGTGTGTGTGTGTGTTTGTGTTTGTCTGTGTTTATTTGTGTGCATATGAGTGCAAGCACGCTCAGGGAGGAAATGGGAAAGGGCTTGAAAGTAAGTAACCCTATCTTTGGTTAAAACTGCTGAATGAGTGACTACGTTAAAAGTCAGTGTTTTAACCCCCTTCTCTGTAATTTAACAAAATATTCATTTTAAGCTCATTTTAATATCGGTGGTAAATTACTCACAGCATCAGTAACGCGCCTCTCATAAATCTTGAACGGGTGCGCGGGTGGATGCTGTTTCTTCTTCTCACAAGCCTCACACAAGTTGAAGCAAGGACACACCGTGCACTTGTACCTGGTGCCGGCCAGTGGGTAGAATTTGCAGCCGTCACACGTCACATTATGCACCACTGTGCTACTTGCCTCTGCGTTGGAGGAGGCGGCAGTGATATTCAACGTCTGTGGGTATTGGTGCGCAAGGGATAAGTAAAAATAAATGTATGTGAGAGAAAGGAGGACATAACATCTGAACGAGCAAGAAGGATATATATAGAAATGAGTTGAAACAATAACGTAGAAGAGAGCTAAGAATAAATAATATAGATGTGAGAACAGCAATTAATTAAATGTGAGAGAAAGAGCAACTTAGATGTGAGAGAAGAGGTAGCGAAGACACGAGAAGGAATTACATAGAAGTGAGAAAGGATAACGTCGAAGTGAGAGAAGGGAAGACTAAGAAGCCAGAGAGAAGAAAATACATAAACTGTAAGAGGACATACGTAAATATGAAGAAGAAAAAAAGAAATATAGCGCAGAAGAGATGAAGGTTCCGAAAGGGCGGTGGCAGCAACTACATAATCGGAAACAGCCTACCAAAACAATTTCCGAAAATATCTAGATTTCGAACTTTAACAGTATGTATCAGCAGAAATTCATGGTTATAAACCTGTGGTTCGATTTTCTTCTGACTTATATTTCTTATGTGTTTCGGACATCTCAGCCCTTTCTAATTCTGACCGGAGACCTTAAAGATCTCTATTGTTTCTGGGAGGTCGATGACATTAGAAACGGTATTCGGTCTACTTTTTTTTTTACCTACCCGGGCTTTGATTGGCTTACACGACCTCAAAGAGGAAAAGAATTCATTTCGAAAGTGTAGCACTAGTACAATGAGAAAAGTGAAAGCGAATTCAAAAATGAAACATTACGTAGAAGACTACGAGAGGAACAAAACCCCAAAGAGACTCCCCTCCACGCTTGGCAATACATACGAAATCGCTGGACCTCATGACCATAACACTTTCATGTAATTGTGTATTTTTTAGGCGACTAACCGTATTTTTCAAACGTTTGAAACTCTTTCAATGAAGAGTATACAACTATAAAGAGCGTCTTTGAATTTAGTTTTATCTTGTTGAGGCATCGGCGATCATGGTTCGTGGCTCATTTCTACTGCAATAATGCCAAAAAAGGCCAACTCTTTATCATCTGTCCAAGGCAATCCCCTGTACGAACGATCACTTCCCACTTCCCCCTTGCGTTATCCAAAAGTTATAATGATACTTTTCAAGATGTCCACTTGTCTAAGACAACCACTTTTCATCTCGACAAAGGACATCTAAAACAGTTTCGACTGTTCTTCAACCAAAGGAAGCACAATAAATCGACATACGTGAATATCCTCCGGCCAAACAATCGCCACCATCTGGTCGTAATGCGGGTGTAGTTTCAGGTCCTGGCAGTCCGCACACAGGTCGAAGTCTGGACACACCGGGCACTTGAAACGCACGCCTGTGAGGGGATTTGACCCACACCCATCGCATTGTACATCAGTGTGGACAGGGAGAGAACTAGCTGAAGCTCGTTCCTGTTGTTGGGTACATGGCAAATTTGGTGGCGGTGTTGAAGGCGGTTGTCTCTGTTCTTGTTGCTGTCGCTCTTGACGTGTCCGCTTTTGTTTCCTTTTAGGCAGACGGTGTTGTATTCTTTCCCGCAATGTTCGTCGTGTTCCAAGACTTCGGTCCCCACTGTCTGCCTGAAGTGGTGATGTGCTTAACTGAAGCTCCCCTTCAAGAGGATGGCGCAGGAAAGATGGGGCAAAAGGCTCGTCCCCTGGCTTCATAGCTACTTCAGAGTGCTTGACTTGGGTCTGCTGTCTTTGTTCCAAATCTATGTCACCACCATTCTGCTGAAAAAAGTGAGCTGATCTAAACACAAACGTGGGCACACAGTTGTAGATGTCGGCAAAACAATGTAAAAAAATTATCCCAAAAATATTACAGTTACTGCCAAGATAACGCCAGTGTATTACCCAAGTAAAAAGGGGGACCAAAATGTAAATGAAAAACAAGAATGACGAAGTAACTCAAAGTTTAAAAAAAAAAATATGACTGTTGCTAACACTGTGATGACTACAACTCCCCCG